AACAATACCAACCGCCAACTCTTTGGTTACTATTTTACCAACAAAGAGTTGGATTGATCGTTAATTATAACGCTCCCACGGCTGAAAGAGCGAGCATGTTCGATGACAGGATATACATTCTGGAAAACAATTAAACATGTTTAGTTCGTAAATTTGGAAATTCTGTCCTCTAATTATAGCTTTTGCCAACTAAAGCTGCTCTGAAACGATTGCAGTAACTGTCTAGTCTTATGTTATTCTAGATAACTATAATTTTTGGGCTTTGGAGTTTACAAGCGCCTTTTCTCGGTGGTATTTATTTAATTTTTCTTTCGCATTAAACGAACTGAACAGTCATCCCCCCCCCCCGGTGGGACAGCAGTAGGTTTATGGACTTGCAACTCTAAAATCAGGGGTTCGACCCCCCACGGTGGACTCAGCAGATAGCCTAACTTAAATTTGCTCTAAAAACAACAACTAACAATTGAACATTACAATCAACTTCTTTTATCTCTAGTTTTTAATATGGTTAATGATGGTTAATGGTCCTTATTCAATTAATTTTATTGGTACATTTCAGTGGCGGCAGGTGAACATTTTGACGTGTAAAGCACAGACTGCACATGGCTATAATGTCAAAGAACTGTAATCAATGAGCCTCACGTTCCGAAACTTGTTATCTTTGTAGTGCCCGTTTCTAGCTTCCTTGTTAAGCAATCTATAGTTTGCTTCACCAAACCCTCGTGTTGGCATGGCTACGAGACATTCTGACACGATCAGTTTTTATTTTGAGCTTAGTGTTTGTTTGCTTAACAGAAACAGTAAGTCGTGATTGTAGCTTTAGCATCAAATATTTGATGTTTTATTACACTTTCTTAGGTTTATAGAACTAAAACATAAAAAAGTTAACGATAAAAAGTTTAAGCGTTTTGATTAAAGGCATGAGCATGTAAATTCAAAGTGGGGAAATACCTCACTTGACGAGTTGTGATTATTATAGGCTTAGATAAGAGGCATGAACATATAAATTCAAAGTGAGGAAATGCATCGCTTACGTCACTTGACGAGTTGCCATTGTCATGGGTGTATCTAGTAGATACTGTTAAGTTGCCATTGTCATGGATGTATCTAGTAGATACTGTTAAGTTGCCATTGTCATGGGTGTATCTAGTAGATACTGTTATCGTGTCGCAGTGACCTATGAATTTAGGCTTATCTATTTCATTTTATTTTCATTCCTTTTTTTTGTGGCACTTTAATCAAATCAATTTCTATACCTGTGTTCAGCTAAACTTTCAATTTGTTGTGCTAACGACATGGCATTCTGGCAAATACAATCTAAAAGCCTTATTCTACAAAGCCATATATTAACAAGCAACTAAATATCTCTGTCTCTACTCATTTCTCCCTTCTGCGCTACATTTATTGCATTGAAGGTGTTAGTCTTTCATATTTATTCAACATATAACATTTATGTTGTTTGGTATTTTCAACCTGAACAGAACCTTATGTGGCATATGTACTAAATGGCCACGTCAGGGGAGGGCAATCGGTCGGCAGCACCTCCCGTCTACACGGCTCCTTTTGATCGAATAATGGAAATTACTGTCACTTTTGTGACGCTCCAACAGCCCAAAGTGTAGAGCGTGTTCGGTGGTATGTCACGGGTTCCAATCTTAAATCTTCTATTCCACAGTTCGACACACTAACATTCAATTCATTCCCAACCGAACAATTACGGTTATACATGACAAGTGATAGAGAAGAAAAATATCTTTAGCTACTCTTTTTTTGATAACTTATTACCAGAGTTATTTGTTTTTCTTATGTTGATTTGTTCTAAACGTATTAGCACTATTATTAAACTCAAGCGTCGAGTGGATACAAAAAAATTTAACCAATTTCACTTTAAGCTGTATGTAAGTGTAAAAGACAACATAAGATGTATTGTACACGAAACACTGTGGGAATTAGTATATACATATATAAATATATCTTAATTTTTTACACTTACATATCCAGAATAATCCTAGTTGGGTGGCTGGGGTTCAAATCAGATGGTAAAATCTGTCTTGGCTTCAGAACATTCAACTGCTAACAATACGCGATTCACTAATGGTTTTGTCTTGTATTTTATTTTAGAAAAAAAAAATACATTACTTCGAGTTTTTTCTCTTGAAGATTAATCTCAAAATTGCTTTTTAATGTAATTGTAGTAATGAAAATTTAAGACCCGAAACCACGATTTGAGAACATACTGTATATTATTGTCAAATAGAAGGGAGAGGAGGGAGGGGTACTGGGAGGCTAAGAAACCCCCACCAGAATAAGTTTCTTATTTATCACAGCATCAATATAATTTGGGAAGTAATAATTAAAAAAACTTGTAAAAATTAATTTTGGTGGAAGGTGCTCTTTTAGGATAAATAAAACACTACTGAAGTATTTTCCTACGGTGGGTCAGAGGTAAGTCTCTGGACTTTCAACCCTAAAATCCGTGGTTCGATTCCTCCCATTGTACAGAGACAATGGTATGAAGTATTTCTCCATTCAATATTGGGCACTTTCGTTCAATGTCATTCTCTGTCACGTGCGCCCATTTTGATCTCGCACGTGCTCTGTGATGACGTGTCCAGTATTAGATTGAATTAGCTGTGGCTGAGTTATAAGAATAACAGTCAGCTCCGCTATTCGGTAAGATTAGTCGTTGCCTTACCTTTAGTCTATAGTTAAAATTTAGGGACAGCTGTACCTGAAGTATAAGGGGTCTCTGACCTGACTGTTTAGCCCATGTTGTACATAAGGGTTACTTTCAAATGATGAAACATGCAAATCTGGTAATGTCATAAACACGTATCTAGACTATAAAATAAAAATAATAGCATTTAAAGGATTGGAGAGAATGTTGGGCGTGTAATCGTTGGGTATGGAATAAAAGGTTAACTATTTATTAATACGCTTCAATAATTATGTGAATATACATAAAAGGTTAACTATTTATTAATACGCTTCAATAATTATGTGAATATACATGGAAATGTCATTGTTAACATCACAGTTATTATGAGGTTAACTATTTATTAATACGCTTCAATAATTATGTGAATATACATGGAAATGTTATTGTTAAAATCACAGTTATTATGAGGTTAACTATTTATTAATACGCTTCAATAATTATGTGAATATACATGGAAATGTTATTGTTAACATCACAGTTATTATGATTCATATTTACCAAAGTAAGATTTTTTTTAATCTTTGACCTACCGTGGACGGAAAGATCCACGACAGTACTGAGACCAGGGCCAACGCCATTGGTCAGTTGACACATGTAAGATCCAGCATCTTTAGGGTGAACTTCTTGGATTACTAATGAACCGTTTTCTAGGATCTGAATGTTAGCGTTACTGATGACCACTCTAAACTCGCCCTTTTCTCCTGAAAAGCATTAGAAACTTTAAAACAAACCCAATAAAACTGATCCTTCCAATGTCAATGATACGAGAGAGAGAAACATATATTTTGAAGAAAATAACAAACGAAGAAAATACGAGTTTTTTGTATAAAGCAACGAGTGATGACGTGATAGATGGATTGGTCGAGCCATGGGTTCCAAAAATTCCTCTGCACAAAGTCCTCCTCATCCTTTTCGAGCTCCCACCTCCACCCAGGGAATCTATAGAATACGAGTACCTTAACAGTATTGTGTATTTTTTCTACTTGCTTCGGCCCCTCTTGACATTATTCTGCGGCCCCCAGTTTGAGAACTCCTGGGCAAAACAACATTATACCTGTTATGAAGTTACAACTGTTACTTTCTAATTACCCCCCCAGTGGCACAGCGGTATGTATGCGGACTTAAAACACTAAAAACCAAGTTTCGATACCCGTGGTGGACAGAGCACAAATATCCCATTGTGTAACTTTGTGCTTAACTACAAAAAAACAAAAAAAAAACAACAACAAAACCTTCTAATTAAAAATATATCGTAACTAATACCTCGTAAATAATCTCCAACTCTGAAGGTGTTTAGTCTTACTTTTAAACTACAGACAATAGAAGTAACGGCTTTGCAGCATTTCAAAACTTTCATTGATATTAATTCTAGTTCTATTGTCACTTTACGATTTTACGTGAACGTCTCTGGAATGTTTAATCAAGTATTAATTTCGTTTCCCGGCAAAATCCATCAGAAAAACACAAAAACAAGATAGAAATGTTGAGAGGAAGAGGAACATTTTAAACATCCTATGTACGAGTCTGGTGCTTTCTCGTCAAAGTATTGATTATTTCTAGACTATGTGGGATAAAACAAACTTCCCATTAAAATGTCACCATTGTGACAATGTACTCCAATTTCTGTTATGTTTTTAACACCTAAAGTTACATACCAATTCTCAATACAGCACCTGTACAGGTTTTTATTACACCACCTGTACATTGGTTGGGCCTAGATTATTGGAGGCTCTATCAAGTGGTCCACCGGACGTTATTCACATCAGAAATCAATACATATATTTAATGAGAATGTAATTTGTTACTTGAATTTAGCAGAAACTAACCTTTGCCCCACCCTGTACGTTATACTGTCTGCGTTAAAGAGTTTGCTCGTATCCCCTTTTGACCGTCTGCCGCTTCCAATTAAACTATACTAAAAAATAAGGAAAAATTAAGACGTGTTCGTGAATGTGTGTTTAATGCAATAATCTTCATATATAACTCCACATTCAGCTAGAAAATTGGGTATCGAATTTTAGTCTCTGGTTCCGGCACATCTTTTACGTGAGCGCTGTGTTTGAGATTAAACATTCCGTCGAATCTTGTTACTGTCGCTAAGCGTTGAGAGAATGGCAAACATCTCTTCAAATTGTCGTGGTCGAGACATTTATTGTAAAAAACATATAATTTTTATTTAATATATTTAGAAATAACTACTTATCAACTATTTCTGATCAAAGTTGGCTGTCTAAATAAACCATAACTAAGAAATAGCTTAGTAAATAATGTAGCTAATTTAATATATCGGTCTAACTGTGAATATGCAATCTCATGAAACAGAACTCTCCGAAACTGGTATAGCTCGGTGATAACTGATGATTCGGACGGCAGATGGGGCTTCATATTTATTTTTAATACATCAAACAGCTTGTGTGGTGAATAATTCAGAAGAGTATATTATAACTATCAATGCTTCATATTATTTAAATAATATATAAATATATGTTTACAATGGCGAATCAAATCCAACTAAAAACACCATACATATAAGAAATTTATATTGATTAGAAAATATTGAATCATTTGTGGGGTATCCTCACTACTATCCGTATTAGAAAACATTAAATCATTTGTGGGGTATCCTCACTACTATCCGTATTTTCGTCTAATAATATCTCCCAAAAAAATACCAGTTTAGAACATTCAAGTTAGTCCTAAATCTGTATACTATGCTAACAATGCAAAAAAAAACAAAAACCCTTATAAATGGAAACAGTAATAATAACAAAATACAATGAATACACAACATCCCATTGGTATGATAATTAAACTAATTTTTAAAGAAAAGTTGAAATATAAATCGGAATATTGTACACATTATATAATTCCTAATGAACTGGTAAAACAGGAACATAGCTCACATTATTTGATTCCAAAAGAACTGGTAAAACAGGAACATAGCTCACATTATTTAATTCCAAATGAACTGGTAAAACAGGAACATAGCTCACATTATTTGATTCCTAATGAACTGGTAAAACCAGAATATAGCTCACATTATTTTATTCCAAAAGAACTGGTAAAACAGGAATATTGTACACATTATATAATTCCTAATGAACTGGTAAAACCAGAATATAGCTCACATTGTTTGATTCCTAATGAACTGGTAAAACAGGAATATAGCTCACATTATTTGATTCCTAATGAACTGGTAAAACAGGAACATAGCTCACAGTATTTGATTCTAAATGAACTGGCAAAACGAATATTGTACACATTATTTGATTCCAAATGAACTGGTAAAACAGGAATACAGCTCACATTATTTGATTCCAAATGAACTGGTAAAACAGGAATATAGCGCACTTGATCTGATTTCAAATGAATTGCGGTTCGTTTCAATTTCAGAAAATAATCCTATAAACACTTATGCAGAAAGACGAATGGCCACATTTATTATAAACTGTAAAGCTTCCAGCGTTATGTATATAGGAGCAGAAGAATATTTTGGCACTCGGAGATTATGCTTTAAATTTAGTTATGAAAGTGCAGATACGAGTAATGTATAGGATTTTATACGTGAGATAAAAAACTAAGAAATGAACTTATGGAAAGAGTATTTCGTCTACCTACACGACGTAGCAATAGAGACTAATACAGAAAATAATGTATATTGCAACATAGAAAACGTCAAAAGAGTGAAATTAGAGATAACGAGAAGAAAAGGGACTGACATTACATATATTACGCGCCATAAATCTGATCCTTAAAAGACAGGAAAAGTTAAACAGTAAAAAAACGAAGTAACGATTTTGATGAGGTTGGGAAGAAAAAACAAACAAACCAGGCCTGCATTTCGGAAAGAAGGCGTTTTATGAACTTAGTGTAACAGATTATGAAATATATAGGTGAACAAAATGACCGCTTTTATAGCTACTAAAAAACCCATTGTTACATAGTTTGTTGTTAATATTATATAAAATATAGTATAAGGTGTATATATCTATGATTTAAAACCGAAAAATCTTAACTGTATTAGGTGCATAAAGCCTAAAGGTAGAAATTGAGTGTTCAAACGCACATGTGTGACATTCTGGAGCTAAGATGGTTCTTTCAAGAGTTTCGCCATCTGTGTCTCCATAAATCTAGTCATTCGTGACCTATGACACTAAAGGCAGAACTTGATGGACATTGTTTGATGTTAAAATTTTATATTTTTTGTGATTTCATTTCTTTGTGTTACGTTAAACAATATTAATTTTAAGGAATTATGCCCCCTGTATTATTAATGTATAATTGTTGTAGAGAACGGAATGGTACCCCTGTATTATTAATGTATAATTGTTGTAGAGAACGGAATGGTACCCCTGTATTATTAATGTATAATTGTTGTAGAGGACGGAATGGTACCCCTGTATTATTAATGTATAATTGTTGTAGAGAACGGAATGGCACCCCTGTATTATTAATGTATAATTGTTGTAGAGGACGGAATATTCCGTTCTCTACAACAATTATACATTAATAATACAGGGGTACCATTCCGTTCTCTACAACAATTATACATTAATAATACAGGGGTACCATTCCGTTCTCTACAACAATTATACATTAATAATACAGGGGTACCATTCCGTTCTCTACAACAATTATACATTAATAATACAGGGGTACCTTCATCTCATGTTTCATAGTTTAATACTAATGACCGTCTCGTGTTTTATAGCTTAATACTAACGGCCATCTCGTGTTTTATACTTTAATGTTAAGAAATATGTTTCATCTAATACGGCATATTTTGAAAAACAAGTTCGAAAAATCGATTTTGGTTTTAAAATAAAACTCAAAGTTGGAGAAAATACAATTATGTATGATAACTATAAGGATTATTCCGACTTGTCATAGAAATATGCTTTTCTAGTTGGAAATATTAACTTTTAAACAACGATTTGGAAGTATCTTCCCGCAGAATTTTCATTTTCAGATGAACTTCAAACATTTCACAGAAAGTTTCACACGAATAGAATTTAGATACAACAATTATACATTAATAATACAGGGGTACCCAGTAAACTATGAAACACGAGATGAATGTCAGTATTAAGCTATGAAATACGAGGACTGTCAGTATTAAATTATGAAACACGAGATGACTGTTGGTATTAAGCTTTGAAACAGGAGACGATCGTTAAGTATTAAGCTATAAAATACGAGGACTGTCAGTATTAAATTGTGAAACACGAGATGACCGTTAGTATTAAGCTACGAAGCATGAGATGAAAGTTTCAGTTTATTACTTAATGAGATATTTAGTGTTGTCACGCAAGTTATACTATACTTTATGTAGTTATAAGAATACCAAAGACCGTTGTTAACAACATGCTGCCAATCGTGATAGAAACTATACATTTATGTAATCATAACTGTAATAAAACAAACGTTTTACCGACAGCTTTTTTCCAGCGGGCAACAGAAGAGGGAAATCCTTCAGCTTGGCAGTCAAAAAGTACCCTATGGCCCAGGACTGTAGTTTGATCTACGGGCCGAAGCTTCCACTTTGGAGGAACTGATGAATTGAGAAAAACAAAGGTAAAACGTAAGGATATGAAAATAAAGTGTATATAATATTTATGGGGTTTTGAGTCCTATTTAACTCAATATACAGTAACCTAAATTAATTTAGATGTGTAAATAATATTGTGTCATGCACCTAATTTCTTATTCGACGTTACACAGCGGGCCAACTGATTTCTTTTCGTCAAAGGTAAAGTTGAAGTTATAATTTGTGACGTGGAGGCCTAACGTTTTCTTTCATTGACCGTACCTTCTGGTGTGGACTGCAGTTCGCTTTATTATAGTTCATAGGTCGGCAAACCAACGAAATACAGTTCGGTTTCTTATAATGTTGATGTGTATATAATATTTATGAGTTTTTTTTTTTCATTCCTTTTTAACTTATCTCGAAACAAAGTGTGTTCAACTCTCTAATTCTTTAGTCTCCAGTTTAACTCTTTAACCCCATGGAGACATATGAAACACACTAAATAACCTTTATTGCATTTAACGTTGTAAAGTGTGATTCTTTAGTCTCCAGTTTAACTCTTTAACCCCATGGAGACATATATGAAACATATATGAAACACACTAAATAACCTTTATTGCATTTAACGTCGTAAAGTGTGATTCTTTAGTCTCCAGTTTAACTCTTTAACCCCATGGAGACATATGTGAAACACACTAAATAACCTTTATTGCATTTAACGTTGTAAAGTGTGATTCTTTAGTCTCCAGTTTAACTCTTTAACCCCATGGAGACATATGTGAAACACACTAAATAACCTTTATTGCATTTAACGTTGTAAATTGCGAGTTTTTAGCATTTTAGTATTTTTTTAGCATAGATCATTTTCCAGACGGTTCTTCTATGATTAGTGTCTGGCGAAAAGCTTCAGCAGATATTTCCTTTACAACATCTCAACCAACAATTGGTCCAGTTATCAATG